ACAGAGAAAAGAAGCTACATTACTGCAGTGGGAAAGTGATTGAAACCAAGATATCAGACCAGGACCAATAACATTGTAGATTCTTTTTTGTATTTTATCAAGAATACATAGCAGAAGCACCATATCAAATAAGGCAGTAACATTCGACACATGGGCAAAGTGTAGACTTATAAATGTCTCAGATAGATTCTGCCAAGTGAAGTGTTTAGCACGACACAGTGAACCAACTTTCCTAAGAGCAGACCAAGCAATTATAAAAACAAGTGAGCTATATTTAAGCATTTTCTGGAAACAAATACTGCATATAGACAGAAATTGTTTCAGTAAAAGAGAAAATTCTTCAAGGTTTTTATCTTATGGAGAGGGTATTTTTAACTTTTCCAAATTATCATGATTTATCATGAAATAAGTTGCTCCTACTCATATATCTCGACATTCTTGACAAAATCCAAAATGTAATCTAATCAAACCTGACATGGCATCTCAACTTGAGTCACTTTCCATCACTGCAATAATATGGCTTCCCTCTATTATTTCTAGAAATATTTGCATGAAAATTGTTCGGATGAGATTTCCTCCTTGGTGCCTGAACTGCATGAATTTAAGCATGCTACTACATTGGCAACTAAGTCTTACCATTTTACTATTGAACTAGCTAGATGTAACTCTAAGTTCTATTCTGATAGTTTCTTTATTCACATTTCTCACCCGTGGAACTCTCTTCTGGTTTCTTGCTTCCCTGCCACCTACAATCTTCAAAACTTTAAATGCAATGCCAATCGCCATCTTGTCTATTTGAAAACTGTTTTTTTATTGTCCTTTCTCCACACTAAAGTCTTCTCTTTATTATCACCTTTGTTGGTTTCAATGTATAGGAATGACTTCAAAAACATACTCCTCCCCAAAATTATAGACAAAGCAGACAGATGCATGCTGGGATTTCTTCCTAGACAATGGGATACGTAATTTCTAAGTCTCATCAGACTGAGTTATTTTCTTTCTTGTTGAAACCAGAATGCTGCAATCACTTGTCCATATCCTGTTTTTGTGTGTTAACACCATTCTTAGTTTGTGAATTTTTTGCCTTATTACTGTTGCTTTGCCTTGCATATATTGTTTACTCAATATTAATTTTGAGCTGTCCTTTTCTTTCTCTTGTTATAGTTTATTGCAAACTTTGTTGTTAAATCTGCATGTTGGGCATTTCTTCAATTATATTTAACCATGGCCAATTACTCTACAACCTTACTTGAAAAAAAAAAAATGGTTAAAAAAAAGAAGTCATTGAACTATAAAAGGAAAAAACAAAAAAAAAATTATGTCTATATTTCTGAGATGATGTATTATGTACATTATTTACATTATTCGGACTATTGTCCTCATCTTTGTTGCCATATTTATTACAATGTTTCAGTCGTTGTACGCTTCAGCCTTCTTCAGGATTTTGGAATGTCGAACTGAACCCTTTATTTCACTTGCTGGGGTAGACTGTTCTAGTTCCATGTGCCATGTTTAATGGATGTCAGTTATCAGTTATCTCCTGTTAATTTCCCTCTGAAAGTTCTCCACTGCCTTAACCGGATATTGAACTCACACTCTTTGGGTCCTGTCACTGGATCTAACTAATGCCTTTATCCACTGCACCATCTGTGTATGAATTTCTGGGTATTATAAACCTAATATCTTCAGCAACCATTTTTAACCAGTGCTCATATTGCAATTTTTGCTGTTATCAAAATCATGTTTTTACCAGAGCTCGTATTGCAATTTTTTGTTGTTATTAAATGCAAAATTGCATTATCAAAAAAAGTGTTTTGACTTTTTTCCAATAGATTTATAATTCTGCAATTAATATTCTCAGATTATTATTAAATTGGCTGTTATGTGCTATATCCAATAAGTAAAGGAAGAAAAATTGTGATAAGAAAGAATAGCGATCCCTTAACAGTAACACACTTTAATAATATCCTTTAACAAATTTGAGGCTTTTTAATTTTCATGTTCTTTTTTTTTTAACAGAATGTGTTGATATTTTAAGATGCATTCTCTTTTTTTTACTTTTTTTTTTTTCCAGGGAGGGGTCATGAAGTACAACATTGATTAACCAAAAGAACGAGGCACAAATGAATGGAAGAAGAGAAAGAACTTAATCATGTTTTTCTTAATGAAACAAGGAGAAAAAGAACTTATCTCCCTTGGTATAAAATTATAGCTGTCAATTTTTTTTGTTTTCGTTTTTTTCCTTTCAATTTCAGAAATACGAGAAAAAGAAAGAAAAATATAAGTGGAATTTAAAATAAACCATTTTTGTCTTTTTTCACTTTACATTCAAATATCTAGTAGTATACAAACTAAAAATGTTTAGAAATTTAATAATTATAAACAGTAATAATAATTATTTGGAAAACTTAGATCTTTGTGACTGAAAAAAAAAAAACAGTGTAAAAAGTATGGTTTTTCCCTTGACATAACTATTATTTTAACAACCTTCACTCCATAGCAATGTTTATTGTTTTAAAAACGATTATTAGAATTGTAATAAAACCTAAACATGACGAAAGTGAATTTATACATTTTCTTTGTTCTTGAGAATTTACAATAAAAATATTAATCACTATTTATTTTAATAATTTAGTAAATTTTTATAAATTCATGAATAAAAATTGTTTTCATATCTCCATACAAAATGGTAAATAGTAAATATTGCATTGCATTAGTTTAATATTATTAGTTTTAGAATGTTGTAAATATAAAATTATTCTTGTAAATAAACAAATTAATAAATAAATAGTGTCTCATATTTTTGTTGTCAATTCTCAAGAACAAAAAATGTATAAAATCACTTTCATCACACGTTTAGGATTTATTCAAATTGTAATCATTGCTTTTTAAACCATTAAGCATTGCCGAGGAGTGAAAGTCGTTAAAATAATAGTGGTGTCAAGGGAAAAACCATCCTTTTGATAAATTTCCAATTTGGGAGGGAGACAGCCTGATTGCAGGCCCCCAGGCAGTACTTTGTGAACCTTGCTATCTTATTAATATTTGCTTTGTTTTTAATTACATTTATATACGTTATAAACTAAGCACAACTATTAAAGGATGAAAAATTTTTGCAGATTTTGACGTCATGCTGGGAAGATGGGTTGTACAAATCTTTGAATTTGTCATGCCAAGTCTCAAACAAGACACTAAATTTTTATCCATAATGCTGAATGTGTTAAAATTATTCAATTTTTTAACAAGAAAAATCTCAAGTTGATGTTAAAAATTGGTGCAAAACATTGTTGATTTTTTTAAGATGGAACAATCTATTATTACATGTCTCTAATTTGTATTTAGATACATTGCATTTATTTTCAATTTTTCTCATCAAATTGTTCACCTATATTGCATATGATCCATTATTGGATATAATTAAGTTACAATAAAATTTGTATTTTATATGACTACTACCTTATGAAAACTGAGATGTAATAAAGTGTGTGTGTGGGGGGAGGGGGGCATGATAGATTGGAGGTGGGCACAAGACTCTTGCACTTGCCCTGTCTGCCACTATAAAAGCAGTGTAACTTTCAACCTTATTTTGTAAATAACCAGATTAAATATAAAGTATCCAGTAGGTTTTGTTATTTCTGAAACAATTTGTAAAACTATTATTTACATGTAAGTCATTTTAAAATGTTGTCACGTAGTAAAATGTCATACTGATCTTAGACATTATAATATATACACATTCTCTCCTATATATATATAAATATATTTTTACATACATATATATATATATGCACACAAATACACACAAATAAGGAGGTGCTAAAAAGTACTTGTCTAGCCTGCTTCATAAAATCAGTATTTTAAACAAGTTTTCATTCATTTTATTCAGTTAATGCATTTTGCATGTTCTGGTCACCACTCCCTTCCACCTCACAATTGTGGTTCATGGCGACATTCAAGGTAGAATAATTCAATGGTTTGCATGTTCTTTTTGCACCGGGATGTTGAGATTACCCTGTCCTGCCTCTCAGAGGTGGATTTTTTTTTTTAAATTACCTTCTTGTAGCCTTTGCCTAAAGAGGTAGGACCTACAAGGCAGCAGGTGATTTTGAATTCAGAGTTTCCTTCTCATAGACTGGTTGCCACCCAAGGCTATAGGGCCCTATCTGTCCTCCTATTTTACCCAACAAGGGCCCTATCTGTCCTCCTATTTTACCCAACAAGTTTTAGGGAGCATTAAAAGAAAGCAAGAAAAGAGCCACAATCTGTTCTGGCATGCTTTGACCACTCAGCTACAGAGAGCTTCACAGTTAAGTAAGGTTCCATTTGCCTGAAAGCACTCATTTAGATTTTCTACTCAAATACAGGAATCCCTTAAAAATAATGTTTGAAGTAGTAAAAACATGTCAGATTAAAAAAAATAAAATCCATTAATTTTTTAGAACCTGCTTTGCTTACATCTCGGATACACTAAGACTTATGAATATCTCAATGAGTGAATGCGCTTTAAAGCAAATAGAACCTTGCTTAACTGTGAAGGTCTCCATAACTGAGCGGTCAAATCACCCCAGATCAGACAATGTTTCCCTCTCTAAAGAGGGAGGCAGTTTTGAATCCTGCCAGGGGTGCCCATCTTCTTTATTAAGTTTCCTTCAGTATGCAGGCTGGTAGACAAAATATGGAGTCTCTACTCAAATATGTATAACCAATAAAAATAACAGTTGAAGTTATATATATATATATATATATATATATATATATATATATATATGATTATCTTTTTCACCACAAACATTTAACCAAAATTTCAAAGTTTCTAAAAAGGAACAAAAAAGAATAAATTTTACAACAAAAAAATCCTTTGACTTTTCCTATTAATAAAACAAAGATTTTGACAATAAAACTGTTTTTATTAAGTTTTGGCCATTTTTTTCATCATCTATGCTCAGATTTTAGCAAATCTTTGGTGTTATCTAGAATATATATTGGGCTTAGTGCCATATAGCATTAAAGCACCACTTCCCATACAATCACTGAAGTTAAGCAAAGTTGAGCCTAGTCAGTACATAGATGAGTGACCGCTTGGGAATCCCAGGTGCTGTAACTTTGTACGTGCAAGTGGTGTAATGGATAATGGCTTGAAATTGATAATCATAGAGCCAAGTTCAAATTTCAGTAAGACGTATATCACTAAATCATTATTATCTTCTTAATTCTTAAAATCTAAAAATATTTTCTGGCTTTAAATAACCCACAAAAAAGTTGATAAGCTTTAGAAAGTGAATCAATCAATCAATTGAACTGTTTATATAGTGATTGTAATCTAGAATCCTCCACTTTATATCCACATTATAATTTCTTGTTTGTTTATCAAATTCTGATGAAGCATGAATCCACCTCTTCTCCTCCCAGCTATGGGTTAATTAGTAAGATTTGTATCCCTAAACCATTATTATCTCAAAAAAAAAAATTTCTGGCTTAAAATAATCTGCATTGTGTTGATAAACTGGAGAAAACAAATCAAGCAATCAATAGAATATATATAAGTATATAAATGTTTTTTTTAGTGGGTGCATGTGTTTGAGTTGCTATCATGTATGTGTGTGTGTGTGTGTACGTGCATGCACACAAATACATGTCACTAAAAATAGTGATCTAAAGATCCATTCAATACCGAAGGGCACTTCGACATGGTCTAATGGTTAGCAAGCTTGTTCTGCTAGATCAGTTATGACTGAGTAGTGAGATCGATCCACACTGGGTGCCACATACTTTCGGCCTTGTACCATATCTAAGCCACATTTAGAAAGTTATTTTCAATCTAGTGTCACATCACATCTCAGTGGAGAAATGGGGTGAACGCCTGCTGAAGATGTTTCAAATTTTCAAGTTAAATGTCATAATTAAATCTTGGGATCTAAAATTTCATATGAAGGCTGATTGATTGTAGTTGTTGATATTTCTTTAGTGTACAAACTTAGCCAGTATAGATAAAGAATGATTATTTTTGCCAATATTAGTTTTTCTTTTTTGTTGTTGATAGTGTTGTTGTTCCCCTTTAGTGTAAACATTTGTGCGATAGATTGCAATAATATTTTGAGGAACAATAGCAAATGGGCAGCATCTGTAATGAGTCATTGCGTACAAGCAGCAGCAGGAGACATGGAAGCACAAAGAGAACAGCTGTTGAAGACCTTTTTTCTACTTGACCAATCAAATTGTTGCTCTAAAGAGTTCTAATCTAAATTTATCCTGATGTTCAGGAAACAGTTTACATTTTTCAAGTGGATAGGTTTGATACAAAAACATAAATGGTATAATAAAAAATAAATATCAAAAGCTACATATTTATCAAATAATATATATATATATATATATATATATATATATATATATATATATATATATATGTACAGGTTTGCTTTGATGTAAGTATATCACTATGAATGGACATATTTCTATATCTAAAACTAGGGCACTGCTTGAATAGATTGGTCCACTCATAAAATATTGGAAAACAAATTTTTGCAAATATTTTTTGCACATTAGCATTCTGTAAATCTTCCTTGTTCCTCTGCAATGCCAATTGTCATTTTCTGCCTTTCTGAAGCCTGTTCTTTTATTGTCCTTTCTGCTCACTAAAGTCTTCTCATTCCCTTTCACACTCAGTAACCCCTTGTGTGTTAATGACATCATTGCCTTGCATGTTGTGAAATGATTAAAAAAACAAACAATTTGCTTTATGAATGATTATCAGTATCTCATTGATTGATTCATTTTCTACAGCTTATCAATCCTTTGAGGGTTACTTAAAGCCAGAAAATATTTTGAGATTGTAAAAATTTTTTTAGATCATAACAATTTAGTGATACAAGTCTTACTATTTAAACCATAGCTGTGGGCAGAATAGGTGGATCCATACCTTTTCCAAGGTTATTTGTGTGTAAGTGAATATAACGAACCTAAATATAATTGGGACTCAACTCTCCAAATAACAATTCCAAGCTATTATCCATTACACCACCCACACATCCAAGCTTACAGCACCTTCTATTCCCAAGTGGTCACCTACCTAGGTACTAACCAAACTTGATGTTGCTTAACTTCAGTGATCATACTGAAATCAGTGTTTCAATGTGATTTGCTTTTAAGTGAATATAACAAACCCAACTGAAATTGGAACTTGACTCTCCAAATTAACAATTTCAAGTCATTATCCATTACACTACATGTACATCCAAGCTTACAGCACCTTCTATTCCCAAGCAGTCACCCATCTAGGTAATGACCAGGCTCAATGTTGCTTAACTTTGGTGATCATACTGAAACCAGTGTTTCAATGTGATTTGCTTTTAAGGGAATATAATGAACCCAAATGAAATTGGAACTTGACTCTCCAATTAACAATTTAGAGTCATTATACATTACACTACATGTATGTCCAAGCTTATAGCCCCTTCTATTCCAAAGTGGTCACCTATCTAGGTACTAACCAAAGTCGATGTTGCTTAACTTCAGTGATCATACTGGAACCAGTATTTCAATGTGATTTGCTCTTAAGTGAATATAATGAACCCAACAGAAATTGGAACTTGACTCTCCAATTAACAATTCCAAGCTATTATCCATTACACCACCCACATATCCAATCTTACAGAACATGGTATTTCCAAATGTTCACCCATCTAGGTACTGCCTAGGCTTGATGTAGCTTAACTTCAGTGATTGTACTCAGGAATAAAAAGTGTTAACCACTTGTTTCACCATATTCAACCACAGTCTTTTTTTTTGCCTTTGCACAGATGTTTTACAAATTAAAACTTGCAAGTGGAAATATTCAGTGTTCAAGTGAGTACTCAGCTGAAATGTGAAAAACAAAAAACAAAGACATGGAAATTAGTCCAAAGAAAAACAAAATTTGAGCAACCTTCCAAATACGGTATATGAAACTACTAAGTTTGGCACAACAACCAAATAAACATCTTAGCATAATAATCTTCTCAAAAGAACCTCTTTATCAAATGAACCCATTCCAACGTATGTTATGATGGCAGGCATTATAATCATGTTTACTTTAAAGATGTTGTTTATCAAGCAATTTGCTTAAAATATATCTCTTGCAAAGTGTTACTTTTAGGTTAAAAAGCAAGAGTAGTGCAAATAGTAATGCAAGGTGTTCAATTACTTATGGAAACATTTGTACAAGTAGTGGCACCTGCAGCCATACTAGTGGTACGAGAATTATAAATATCTTCAAAAGTCATTGCCTTTTTTGGCTGCAGCAAAACAATTTCTACTTCAGTGTGACGTTTGTCGAAAAATTTATAATTATTTAATGTGCTTGTTGATGTTAGTTCCAACATTCGAATTAGGGACATTGATGAACATATTGTGTATTTTTATAACAGCACTTCAATTTACTGAAGAAGGCCAAACGTTTTTTGAAAGACATTTATTCTTGAGTGTAAATAACAACAGTAGTTCCCCACTGCTTATTAACAAATACTATTCTGGATCTATGAAAAAAAAAAAAATGATTTCTGCTCAAATTTGAAAATTTAAAAAAATCCTTCTTAATCCTAAAAATGAAGTATAGTGAATGATATTACAGAAACAGTGATTCACTGATTGAATGTTTTTATGGCTTATCAACCCTTTGTGGGTTATTTAAAGCCAAAACATATTTTGGATTATGAGAATATTTTTTTTGCATTAACAATTTCTTTTGAGAATAAAATTAATTTTTTTGGATACAAGTCCTATTTAACCCATAGCTGGGGTGAGGATATGCATTCATACCATTCCCAAGGTTATTTATGCATGAGAGATTGCAATGAACCTGAATGGAATTTGAACTTGGCTCTCCGATTTCTCATTTGAAGCCACTATCCATTGTACTATCCATACATCTACACAGAAATTATGGGTAATCTGATATAATGTGGAAAGGAAGTGCACAGACAGCATAATTATATTTGTTTGTCTCAAACTATTTTGTTTTCCTTATAGCAAAAAACATTACAAAGAATTTCAATGCTTATGTATATGAATCATTGAAATATTAATGGATGACAATGATGCACCAGTAACAGCATTTGTAAAATGTTTTAAAAGGAAAGTGTTATGAAAAGGAAAAAAAGATTTATATTAAAGAAAATTGATAAAATGTTAATTGGTTTGTCAGTCAAATTCTGAGAAAATAAAGTAAGGATATTTTCTCTTGAATAGGATCAAATTAAGCAACGTCAAGCATAGTCAGCACCTAGATGGGTCAACACTTGGGAATACCAGCTTGGATGTGCAGCAGGGTGTGACGGATAACAGACTGGAATGAAAAATCGGAGAATCGAGTTTGAATTCCAGTCAAGTTCATTACATTCACTTACGTACAAATACCATTGTGAAAGGTATGAATACATCGCTGCTAGCCCGCCCACGTATGGGTTAAATACTAGGACTTGGTCCAATAGCCTTGGATAGTAACCAATGAGAAACAGGAGGAAACAGCAAGTAAATGAGTTTTTTTGTGAACAGATAGTAGAACAAGGAAAAAGACAAATGGTAATGGTGAAAAATTACTGAGAGCAACCAAAAGTAGGAAGTTGTGAAGAGCCATGTACTAAAAGGACACAAAACAAAAAAGAAGAAAACAATAAATGGATGGCAGAACAGGAAAAAAGAGGAATGGTAAAGGGTTAAAAGTTACTTAAGGTAACAAAAGACAGGAAGTTGTGGAGAACCATGTTCATCTGAAGGGACACAACATGTAAAAGATGTGAAAGGATGACAGCACAGGAAAAAAGAGCAATGGGGTTAAAAGTTATTTAAGGCAACAAAAGACAGGAAGTTGTGGAGAGTCATGTTCACTTATATCCTGAAGGAACACAACACATAAAAGAAGTGGAAGGATGACAGAACAGGGTAAAAAGGGAATAGTAAAGGATTAAAAGTTACTTAAGGCAACCAAAACAGGAAGTTGTGGAGTGCCATGGTCACATCTATGTGCTGAAGGGACATGACATAAAAGAAGAATAGGTAGTGAATAGATGACAGAACAGGGAGGGACATAGAAGGACAGTAAAGAGTTAAAAGTTACTTAGAGAAACAAAAGACAGGAAGTTGTGGAGAGCCATCTTCACTTACATCCTCAAGGGACATGACACACAAAACAAGAAGTGACAAGATGGCAGAATATTGACAAAGAGGGATGGTAAAGGGTTAAAAATTACTTAAAGCAACAAAAGACATTTTGTGGCAAGACATAATCGCCCACATTCTGAAAGCCTATGACACATTGTAGGTATGAATCCAACTCTTCTACCCCCTTCGTCTGGAAGAAGAAATGAAATAAGATATGAAAACAATTTCAAGATTCTATAAAAACTGGAACACCGTGATTGATGAGAAGATGTGCCAAAAATAGTTGTTTTTGAAACAGTGTACAGTACATTATAATAAGATTGTTTCTTTCCATCAAAAGTTTAACATTCCAAGTCAGTATCAAATGCTTCAAAAGAAGTTCCAACCTTGTTAATTCTAATGCCTCCAAAACAAAACTGCTCTCTATTAATCGTCTGAGAGAACCCTTTCAGTTTTCTCTCTGCATGGTTGAGGCTAACTTCCCATAGAAATGACTCAGTGCATCTTCTTCCGCTAACATTTTCTGCTGAGATGAAGTGAAAAGATTATACTGAATTAATTTCTAGATATGCTGCTAGGAAAGCTGGTTCACTCTGTTGTGCTAGACAATATATCTGACATATTTATAAGTCTACCATTCATCCATGCTTTGAATATTGCTACCACATATGGTCTGGTGCTCCTGCTATATATTTAGAGAGCCCTGATAAAATTCAAAGAAGAATCCACAATGTTATTGGTTCTGAACTGAAAAATGTACATATGAGAACTAGTTAGGACTTTGTAGAGACTTTGAGGTATTATGGCGGCTGTAGTAAGAATGGTAAATAAGAATGTGCTGTTTTGGTATAAGAAATACTGTAGTATATTTGGGTCAGTAATTGTGGATAGCTAAGTTTCAGATAATACAGAGTGAAGATCAGCCTTCCCCTGTCCCTCCTTTTGGCCTTGTGCCACATTTTTGTACTATCAAAATAAATATTACTTTCCACTATGGTACCTAGACTTTATGAATTTAAACACAGTACTAGATTGATGGCAAGGTCTAATACTTTTAAAGTTGAAATGGCTAGATGTAGCTGTAAGTTCTATGCTAATAGTTTCTTCTCTCGCACTTCTTGTTTGTGGAACTTTCTTCCAGCTTCTTGCTTCCCTGTCAACTTTGATCTTCAGAGATTTCAATGCAATGTCAATCGTTATCTTCTGTTTTCTTAATTTTTATTCTTTTATTGTCCTCTCTCCTTAATAGTATATTTCTCCCATATTCTCTAATATTCAGTAATCCTTTGTATCTTAGTGACTTTATTGCTTTGTATGGGGTGGAATAATTAAGAAAAAAAAAATTTCAAGGAGTGTCACTTTACCTACTAGATGTACTGAAAACAAGATGTGTTTCATTCTCCACCTCCCAAGGGGACTTTTCAGCCTGTAGTGAACCCCATGTTGCATTGAAGATAACCTCTCTTGCACTTCTCGCATGTGGAACTCTCTTCTGGTTTCATGCTTTCCGATCAACTTTGATCTTCAAAAATTTAAATGCAACATCAATCGTTAGCTACTGTCTTCTTCATTACTTTTGTTCTTTCCCATTAAGAATGTTTCTCTTTTTTCTTATTCTTTCACACTCAGTAACCCCTCGTATCTTAGTGGCTTTACTGCCTTGTATGGGATGATATGATTAAAAAAAATAGAAATGGAGTCAAGTAGATATTATTAGCTCTTATTTATTTTTAATCAAATGTCCAGCTATCACTAAACCAGTTTATCAGTCCTCTCTCTCATCTTGGCCAAAATTGAGAACAAAAAAATGTGTACTGTGGCTAAAAAATCATACAACCCCAGACTAATAAAAATATAACATTAATGGCTAATTACCCTTAAGCACACCAATCACTCTGTCTACTTACAGAGAGATGGCTGGTAGGACTTAATGTACACTGATTCCAGTACTTTCACATGATAATCAGTATTATCCTTACTCAGCAATGAGAACATGTTTGGGCTATAAGACCAAACATTGCTGGTTTTTAATCAGAGGTTCAGCTATTGCTAAATCGTTTTATCAGCCCTCTCTCATCTGTCTTCTTAATTCCTGTTCTTTTATTGCTTTCACACTCAGTGAGAACCCCCCCCCTTACATCTTAGTGGTTTTATTGTCTTGCTTGGGATGAAATGATTATAAAAAAGCAAAATGTATCATA